GTACACACCGCCGCTTGGCTTCGACTGGCAGCACGAGATAGTGGATAAAGTTCGTGTAAAAGCCTATTTGCAGAGGTTTTCGCGCTTCAAAATTGACGCTTCATTTTTGAATATTTTCAATGAAATTTTCACAGTCCACTAAAAACAAGATTCCACAGGGTGCTATAGAGCCACTTTTTCGTTTTTTCCTCTGGGTTATTTTTAAAAAAATCGAGAAGTCGAACAACAATTATCTGCACTTCCACCCACCATAACTCCTGAAAAAATTTTTTTTTTAGAAAAGTGGCTCTATAGCACCCTGGACAATTGTCTTCTGAAAATACTGTATAAATTTTATTAAAATATATAGAAAAATGGAGCGTCAATTCCGAAGCAGCTAAACCTTTGTAAATGGCCTGAAACTCACTGCGTCGGAGCCGCCTTAAGCCTACCAGAGGGAGCGAAGGTTACCTATACGAAACGCACATGGAAATTTGAAAATTAAAATTCTCAATTTTTCTTCAAATCAACACCACTTTTTTTTCACGAAAATCAATGCTACAATGCATCCTTCATATCCGGGATCGATTACATCTCGTGGCCGGGGCATATTAAGCCTTTACCAGATTTATTATTACCAACAGTACAGATGACACAAAAAAAAGTTACGTGCTACTCATCTGTTTACCTCAATAAACTTCAAAAGAGATTACATATTTGGTGGGCTGCGAATACACAGCATTCGCCAGGTGTACACCTGGTTCGTAGTTAATGACAAAGTACCTTCACAGTGTTCTGTGAGGTTTTGGAAAAACATGTCATGGGGGGCATGGTATAGATTTAAATTCTCTTTTTTCTTCTGTAGGGGCTATAATTTGCCAACATCACCACTGGTACAGTCTCAGACATGAAAGTGTTTGCATCTATCAGCTATGAAGTCAGTACTACAAGCACAAAATTTTAAGATCGTTTCCATTTTTTTTTTTCGTTCTCTAGAATATAATTCAAAATCCTCTATCTTGGTAAGGGGCAATTTAGGACCCATGTTTATTTTTTCATGCTGTTTTTTGATCTACTTTATGCTGTAGCAATACTGATATGTTTTGCTGAAACTACCACTATCCGCACTTTGTTAGGGGATGAAGTAAACATGACCACTGACTTTATTTATTATAATTTTTAACATCTCTGATTTTTTTTATCAATCCGCCCCGATGTTCAGCTCTAAACTGTCATGCGTAAGCAAGCGCAAATAATTTTTCATACAACTATCACCGAACCATCTGCCCGTACAGCGATATAAAATCGATCAAACATCACGATATAAATATCGACTATCGACTTTTGTACCGTATCGATGGCTCGTACCAATCTTCTAATTCCAGCTGTAGCGATCAGCTGACCAACGCTAGTGATCCGATTGGTTGGTTCTTAAGAAAAAGTTCAATATATTGAACTTTATTTTAAGAAGTGACCTTGAATTAAGAAAACGACCACAACCTCAATATATTTAGTCATTTATGCAAAAATGAACTGATTTGGATACTTACTGCAACGTCATCATTAGGCGCTCCTCTGGCGATGTCCGATTGCGTTCAGGTGACTTCTGCAGGTACCTCTTCAAGGTCAGGAGTTGATACCAGCGCGGCTTTTCGTTTTTTTTTGCTCTAGGCATGGCCATCCTCAATTAATCGCACAAAAAACAAGTCCAAGGCAGAAAAAACACACCCGAAGACGAACACCAAAACAAATCTCTACCGCAAATTCGGCAACAACTCAAACAAAAACAACAGATGAGTCACCGCCTGGCTGTCTCGGTAAATCGTCGTGTAACACGAGACACCACAGAATTATTATAATTACGTCAATACGAGTATAGAACAGTATGGAAAGGGCTATCCAAGGGTAAGACGAGTTCCGAAACCACCCGAATCATGTCAAAAAATGGGTGTGACGTCACCAAAACGTTTGACCACCACTGGAAATCACTAGCTAGTTACTATCTGGAGGCGTAACATTTGGAGGAACACTGGTGTAGAAACAGCTGATCCTTAAGTTTGGTTACGTTAAGTCGTGCATGAATCCGACATTACACTTAAACTTAAGGTGCAAAATCGGCACTAATTATCTCAAACCAAAATTTGGTTAACTTCGATCATTTTCGTTTGATTTTTCATCCCAAAATATAGGCTAAGAAGTGTTTAAAGTACACTAGGCGTTTTAAAATAAGATTCGCATTAATTAAGGAGATATGTATTTATATCTACAAAACATGTGGCACTGGATACCACTTTAGGCGCATTTTTAAAGAGAAGTTCACATGAGCGTTAGGCTACTTGCACACACAACGATTTTGGACGGCCGGTAAAATATCGACCGATTTTTTATCGGTAGGCTTTGCGTACACACGCGCGGTTTTTTACCGGTGCAGTGCTGATTTCCAATATTATTTTTAATGAATCCCCAACGAGTTGTTGCAATGTGGTTACTGTACCAGCGTAAAAGCATTGTAGAATTAAGCGAAAGTTCTGGAATCATTTTTCTCTTTGGACTCCATTTCTTTAAAATCCTCATTCAGTTCGCAGCAAACTTGGCTCAATGCTTCTCTAGTAGCATTTCTGCCTTTAAATATCTCCAAAGTTTTATCCAATAAAACTAGTCTTGCTTCCACTAGCGCAATAAGTATGTCATTATCGATGTTCATCTCTTTATCCATTGTAAACGTATATGCAGTCGTAATCACGGCCATTAAATAATAAGTGAGTGTGCAAGCTCCTATTCAAACACCCCAACTAGCAAAGTAGTGCTTATAAGCTTTTGGTAAAAGAACCGTTCAGCCATAAAAGCTCTCTATTGTTGTTGCCTGAACTCCAAAATGCTGGCTTAATGTTGTGTGGAATGCAAATTTGCTTTCTACAACATATTTGCTCTAAAATGAGGTGTTTAAAATATTCTTTAGCATAGTTATACAACACCTTATAGGACAAATTTTTACCTGTTGCATAACGTTTATACAACTATTTTATATGGCATATTTGCAGGTTAGTCAAATGATTTTGTTGTGGCATCCATGGTAACGTTTATAAAACAAACCCGAGCCTTGTTGTTTTGCTGTGCAAATTTACTACTTTAGGCCCGTATCGTCAGTCATCCCTACAATTGTAGGGCTCGTTTATGGCCTCCTTGATTGTTATACTCCTTTCTCTCCTTCAAAAATTTCTAGATTACACTTGTCCCGTGTCAGCGTCAGCGCTCTCCTAGTGTGAAGATATGTTTTCTTTTTAAATTGTAGGAAATTTCAGGCTGATAAAACATGATATAACTCAAAAGCAAGCACAATTTGATGCAAATAGATCTTTGTGACATAACCTCAAAATAGAGTTCTGACACGGAGAAGTAGAAAAACTATGACAATCAAGGAGGCCAAAACGCGCCCTACAATTGTAGGGACGACTGACGATACGGGCCTTAGCCAACAAGTTGCTTCCAACGGAAGCACTTATACAACTGTTGTTTAGTAACTGTTAAAGGCTGTACATATGCTAAATATGTTGGTATACAACTTCACCATAACCTAACTTTCTGCTGTCATATTTTTGTTAAAATACCATAACCAATGATTTAAGACAAACAACGCATGCATATTGGTTCAAAAGGTTTTATCAACTGTTCAAACAGAAGATATAGATCTGGTACAAATTCTGGGTAAATCATTCGACTCTGTCGGTATTTCATTTCAGACATCTGTCAAATTGTTGTATAGCATCTGCAGGCAACACCAAAATATTCTAATAAACTGAAGACAACATGGACGATGCCATGATTATACACAACCACCAGCCATATTGGGCAAACATTTATTCCTCTATTTAATATTAAATAATTATGTTTCAGTTCGAAATTACAGATATAAAGTGATAAACATTAGTGTAATATAGGATTTGTGGAAGATTTGACGCAGATAGGTTCAGTTTTCCATCTTAAAAATCTAGACATACTTTTGATCATTATCAAAATATTCATCAAATAAGAAGCCCGTAGAAATTGCGTAACTACTATGCATGATAATCACAATAAAATTTGCTGCGCAAGTAATTCAATGGCCCTATATCACAGTGTAGAAGTTTATCATATATATATACCTGTGTATGAAATTCACAATGGCCGATATGTAAGTAAACAAGATGACTGTAATGTGTTAGTTATATATTCTTCACTTCGTCTATGCAATACATAAGAAATATTTTGGTTGCAATAAAGTAGAATCACGTAACAGAATAGTTGTATAGTTGACAAAAATGAATCTGAACCTCTTAAATGACTGAAGTGTCCTATTAGGTGTGCCCATTCCGCTTGTATAGCTGTTCTAAGAGGGTTTATCTCTGGCGGTGCCGGTCGGTGGTCGGCCAGAGTGCAAGCTTCAATGCCCTCCAATGGTTTACTATTAAAATGTGGTCGGCCGATATCTTATCGGTCGTCCAAAATCGGTGTGTGTGCAAGTAGCCTAAGCAGAGCCTACCGATAAAAAATCGGTCGATATTTTACCGGCCGTCTAAAATCGGTGTGTGTGCAAGTAGGCCTACACGTCGGGTTTGCAACGGTGCGGTACCGTCGATCGTTGAAGAAAGTCGGCGGATCCATTTACGGCAATGTATTTCCGAGACGTGCGTATTTTAACGTTGCGTTGCCGCACCGTCCGTGTGCACCGGCTGTAAGTCGACTAGTTTGCGAGATATTGTATTAATTAATATAACTTTGTTGTAAATAAATATTTTCTACAGATGTAGAGTATGATAGAAAGGCGTGCCAATTGCAGCGCCATCTCTTAGCTTAACAAATTGAAAATAAAAATGGTGGACGCTATCCAAATTTCGGTTTGAAATGTTTACTTTAGATTTTGAGCTTTAAAGTTTCATTTTTTCCATCAAAAAGTACAGAAAAAATCCTATATGAAACATTATGTTTAATATCTGAATGTAATAATATCTGTTCAATTCGAAATAATACTCCAAAAAAGTCCCAATTCCCAAACGGCTATTTTTTAGAAGGCGATAACTTAGCAATAAAACAACATCACACGAAAAAAATCGAGTTTTTTTTACACAGATTATAGATGTACAAATACAAATAGGCCCAATATTTAAGGATGTTGAAACCTTTTGATGATTTTTCATTGAAAGCTTGATGTGGCATACCCCATTAGAAGATTAATGGACTAATTCAAATGAATTTGATATTGTGATCTGGTGTGTATCTGATCATATACGCATAGCTCTGCAAATTTCACATGACACATACCAAATATTTGGGATAAGCCCCTGTCTATGGGCTGAGATATTTTGTAGTGAAAAAATCTTTTGTATAAAATTTATTTAATCATATATATTTACATGTATGCTCTAAAAATTCACAGCACCTTTATTATTTATTTATACTTAAGGTGTTGCCCTCCAAAAAATGTATAAAATCAGATCAGCTTTGTTCACGTTATTTTTTTTGAAGTATGTCAGTTGTTACACCATATGAATGTAACACAGTAGCACTGCTAGCAACTATAAATGCCGCAGAAAAGAGGAACATGAACAGCAATGCTAAAGTCATTCCTTGGAATAGTAACATGTACATCACATAGAGCCAACCTGCAAAAAAATAGCGAAACAATTTTTGAGTGTGGTTGAACAAAACAGACAGAAAGGTATGGGCACAGATCTGGATAAGGAATATAAAAAGGGCGTGAAAAATTAACGCCCAAAGATATTTATACCGGCGCCAATGCCTTCTATTCCCTAGTTCGTAAAATGATACTGGTGTATAATACCTGGCGCTGCGTAGTTATTTCAGTAATCGAAGCATCTGTTCATCATTGCCGGTCGGAGTAATCCAAAGACCTTTGCTCATGGTGATAATCTTGTATCTTTTAAGGTTCAGTCGAAATAAAAAAAACAAGGAGAATCAAAGAAAAAAGGGATGACAGGAGAAAGATGACTAAGAAGTGCGTATGTCTGTAGGGTGCCTTGCTGTTGTTAAGTAGGATTCGGAAGATTTATTGATCTATAAAACTCATTACAAAGTCTGCTGTTGAAAAATTAATACGTATCGGTTCCATTTGACGATTTGATTGATTGCTACCAGTGCGAATCAACGAATTCGAATAGCTTAGAAGGAGCCAAGCCTATATGTTTACATTGCATATTTTGTCTCCAAAATTGCGTAGTTTTAGTGCTCATTTAACCACTAAAGTGACAGCATTGTATCAACACAATAATAATACTTACCGGTGAAACATCTTCCTTCATTAAGCTTGTGCTGCTCTTTGCAAATTATGTAAGAAGTACCATATATCATATACCATTATCTGCAACACTCTTAATTTTTAGAAAATAACACTAAAAATATGGATTCAATGACAACTGCCAAAAAATTAACTCATGTCAAGTATACTTGTAGCACAGCTTAGATAACAATCAGCTATGAAACTCTCCTGTCACTGTCAAAAACGGCCGCCATTTGTCGGAGAAAGTCGAATGTAAATCCCCCAGTAGGGTAGATGCACCGTTTGGGTTTGGGGCCTTCGCACCGTTTGTGGCCATCCACGAAATAAATCTAAAATAATAAGCGTCATTTTCAACCTGGCCAATAAGATAATTTAAAATCCCACTGTGTATTGCATTCTTCATCACGCCTACGCATTTAATTGGGTTTGTTGGTTATGGGTTTTTTCAAAGGCGGTTTTCCAACGCCCAGCGCGGATGTTGTGCTTTTCTTAAGGATTTTGTTAAGGAACACGAGGTAAGTAAATGCATGATTATATGTAAGAATGTGAATATTTTTACTCAAAATGAATGTTATTTGACAGATAAAGGAATTTTCCGTGTTATTTTCACAGTTTGAAGCAGATATTTAACCCATAAATAATTAAAATAATATTGGCCACAACAGGAGCATCTGCGCCAGTTGTGGTCTTTTAGGCCCGTATCGTCAGTCGTCCCTACAATTGTAGGGCGCCTTTATGGCCTCCTTGATTGTCATAGTTTTCTGCTTCTCCGTGTCAGAACTCTATTTTGAGGTTATGTCACAAACATCTATTTGCATCAAATTGTGCTTGCTTTTGAGTTATATCATGTTTTATCAGCCTGAAATTTCCTACCAATTTAAAAAGAAAACATACCTTGACAATAGGAGAGCGCTGATGCTGACACGGGACAAGTGTAATCTAGAAATTTTTGAAGGAGAGAAAGGAGGATGACAATCAAGGAGGCCATAAACGCGCCCTACAATTGTAGGGACGACTGACGATACGGGTCTTAGTGACTAAAAAGGGGACATAAAAACAGTTGTAGCCACAAAGCAGAAAGAGATGGCAAAATTTAATACTAACAAGGTAGAAAAGGAGGACCTAATAACAGAAATTTTATTGTTTCAGAAAAGTTATGGCTCCATGCAAATTATTTCAATATTCGGAAACTGACATGCAAAATGCACTTAATGTCAACCGACATCAGTCTATGCCCGTTTTGACAGCATGTAAGCAATTTAATGTCCCTAGAACACCCTGTTCGAAATGGACTGGAAGGTAAAGCAAAGGACGATTGCCGAAAAGTTGGCCCAACGTGTTGTCTTGGCCTGGAAGTAGAACAAAAATTGTTTTCCTAGATCCTAGACAGTTCTGCAAAAGGTTTTCCTGTAAATAAAGAAGCTCTTCTGTACTCTATTCAAAAAATACAAGAACAATGTGATATTCAGCCCGAAATTCTTTAAATGGGCACGAGGAAGAATTTGGTTCGATTCCTTTATGAAGAGGCACCCAAAAGTAAGCAACAAAAACGAAATTGATAAACAAGGCAAGGCTGCGGTTTCTGGAGAATCCAGATGTTGGTTTAGTCACGTTAGAGAGCTCCTGGGGCCTCCAGAGGGGTCTAAGTAGTTCCGGAAATGGAAGCCTTATTTTTTTTGTGTAACTGTTCATTTGTTTTAACGAGACTTAGTTTTGTTTTTTGTTTATGTTTCTCAACGGCTCGATACTTTTTTACATACTAAAAACTACTTGGCAATTTTTGTCCCTAACTTGACTAAAACAAATGTTTTCATCATTTTGACTACTTTTTTGTTTATGTAAATTAGTATTTTTTAAATAAAGCAACTACGCGTACTTGTTCATTTTGGTTCTTACTCCGTATACTATGGCAAACAGATCTGTGACTCCAACGAAAGGGGGAAGTGATATCATTGTCATGATTACTGGACAGATAACAATAGAAAACACGTTATTATGTACAGTAACCTAGGTTACCTGTATTCTTTTAGGTGTCACAGAACCGTTTGTCAGACTTTATCTATGTACCTATTTAAATGTGATGGCCACAACTGGTGGAGTCTCTTGCCACAAGTGACAACTAAGTGGCCACAACTATCAAAACTGTTGTTTTCAGCTATTTTGATAGTTTTGCGTTTGTCTCATTTAATTCAAATTAGATAAATTCCCTCATGACTAATGCACCTTTACTATTATATATGTCATTCGAGGGCGGCAAACTGGCTTAATAAATAAATTACAGTTTAAATGAAGTTAAAACATTTCTTAAGGTGGCCACAACCGGTACATCCACCCTATCTACAGGGTTTGTCCGGAAAGTAATAGGACTGAGTCGATTTAAAAAACTTTATCGAGCCAATCGTTACAATTCTGAAACTTCCAGTCGGCTGCGATGTCTTGTCGGACCCGACTCATTCTTCGTTTGTGTCTCCTGAGCACTTCCACGTAAAACTTGGCGTTGACGGTTTGTCCAGGAGGAACAAATCCATGGTGGACGATGCCTTTGATGTCAAAAAAAAAAACAATGAGCATCGTTTTCACTTTGGATTTGCTCATTCTTCCATTTTTTGGGCGAGGAGACGCCGTCGTGTGCCACTCGGAAGATTGCCTCTTTGTCTTGGGATCATACTCAAAGATCCACGAATCGTCACCTGTGATTACGTTATTCAAAATTGGGGGTCACTTTCACACATGTTCAAATTTTCTTGGCACACTTCCACTCGCCGCAATTTCTGGTCGTGAGTGAGCACTTTTGAGACCATCTTCGCGCACACCTTGCGCATGTTCAAATGCTGTGTTACAATGTCATGGACCACAGAATTTTGGTAAATTTAACATCTGGGCAATTAAACGAATACTTAGTCGACGGTCTGAGTTCAAAACTTTGCGCACACGAGTCACATTATCGGTGTTTGTCGAAGTTAAAGGTCTTCCAGCACGGTCTTCATCAGCGACATCTTCCCGGCCCTCCAAAAAGGCCTGGTGCCACCGAAACACACCACTTCTTGCTAAAGCAACACCTGGGTAAGCCTGCTTGATCATATCAAACGTCTCTGTCGCAGATTTACCGAGTTTCACACAGAATTTAATCGCGTACCTCTGCTCTAACGAACGCTGCATTTTCGGCTTGCACCACTCACAAAAACACGTCGCGCGAAAATGCCTGTCCTGACTCTCCAAATGCTCGAAGACAACTGACCAGCCGCTCATTCGTTAGCTAGGAACGCCCTCTACCGAATCCAGTCGGTGCGCGCACGCTTCAAAGTACAGTCATGGCGGAAGAAAATGAGTCCTATTACTTTCCGGACAAACCCTGTATAACGATGAAAGGGATTTTAGTGCTCAGCAGCAGCCGGTGTTGACACGTACCCTGCCTGCGGTCGCAGCTATTACAGTGGACCTCCGGTAATCCGACAAACATTATGCAGGGCAATGTCGGACTATCGAATTTGTCGGATTAAAGAGCACTGCCTATAGTCCGGAATTTTTTGCAAAAGAGTATCTTGTAATCCCTCAAATTGCATATCCAATGGTAAGATTATATATGTTATGTATATGTATGTACTTTGAAGTACAAATCATACATAGTTTATGTATGTCGAATTTAGTAAATTAAATAATAGAGAGCTTACGTTTATTATAAAATTAAGCATAAATGCACATACATATGTACCAAAATAATCAAGAATTATTAATTAAAATCATTAATGAATTTATCAAATTATGAAGCTTGGAAATATTCATAATTTTTTTTTTGTTTAAGGTTGTTATAACGCTAGATCAGAGCTTTGTCCCTCAGTCTTCTCAAAAGTAGAAGTTCGTTGTAGGATGTACCATTCTCTTCAGCCCATTGTAAACCTAGCTCAAAGGCGTTAATTGCGTCTTGTGCTATGACTTGTGGAGCAGTTGCAATCACGTCGTCGTTATTTTCCTGATTGTTTGTTGTATAATTAGAAACCTCTTTTATAATCTCTTCGTCAGACATTTCATGAAAAACATTTTCCTCTTTATCCATTCCACGGCACCAGATTTCCAAATCTTATCTGTGTTTCAGTAGCGACTTGTTCTATAACTTCTGAAGTAACACTGATTTGTGGAACGTTGCTAGGACTGGTGACTATATCTGGCCATAACTTTTTTCAAGACGATTTAATAGTAAGTTGATGACGGTAACGCATTCCACGACTGACAAAGAGCAAAAACCAAGGCTTTCATATTAAATTCTTTTAAAGTTTTCTCTACTGGTTGGTCTTTTGATACGGCTCTCAGAAGTAGGTTTTTCTTATAGTCTTGCTTGACAAAGTGAATGATATTCTGGTCCATTGG